CTACAGTATTCTTTTATTCTTTTTTTTTTTATTCTTTTATTGTCTTTTATTCTTTCAGGAATTTACTGGGGGTAGTATTGCTCAATCAAGTGGCCTGTCTTTAGATTTTTTTTTTTTTGGTACCGGGGATTGAACTCGGGTCCTTGTGCTTGCGAGGGAGGCGGCAGAACCACTGAGCTAAATCCCCGGCCCCTATCTTTAGATTTTTGAGGAATGATGTAACTGATTTCCATAGTGATTATACTAGTTTACATTCCCACCAACAGCAGGAGGGTTCCTCCCACCCCTCACCCTGAGTTTCAAAGTTTCCTATCTTATATATAGGTCTTAAATCAATTTTGATTTGATTTCAGTACAGGGGGATTAGGAAGAAATAAGGATCTAGTTTCAATCTGTATATGGATGGATATCCTGTTTTTTCAGCACTATTTGTTAGAGGCTGTCTTTTCTCCAGTGTATGTTTTTCTCCCTCTTGTCAGAAATCAGATGGCTATATGTGCTTGGATTTGTTTCTGTGCCTTCTGTTCCATTGATCTAGATTTCTGTTTTTGTGCCAGTGCCATAGTGTTTTTTGGATTTATTAAGTTTATTGGTACATTTTAGGTATATAATATGATGACACTGATCACTGGGAATTTGTACCTGTACATGATATATATCCCCCTCCCTTCAACCCCTCCACACCTCCCTATTTACAAACAGTTTCCATTTTTTCCTTTTCTCATATTTTTTCCTTTCCCTTCTTTCCTTTCCCCTACTTCCCTCCCTTCCCTTCCCTTCCCCTTTGGACCTTTTCTTCCTATTTCACATTGTCTATTATACATTTTGGTATTCATTTACACTTTGAGTTTCTCACACCAGAGAAACTGTTTGGTATTTACACGTGTGTCCTGTTTATTTCACTTAAGAGTATGAGTGCCATAGTGTTTTTGTTACAAGGGCTTTGTAATATAATTTCAAATCTGGCATTGTGATGCCTCTGGGATTGCTTTTTTGTGCTCGGGACTGCTTTGGCTATTCTGGGCTTTTTGTGCTTTCATATGATTTTTAAGATTATTTTTTCTAGTTCTTTGAAAAATGTTAACATCTTAATGGGGAACAATTTGAATTTGTAGATTGTTTTTGGTAATATGGCCATTTTAACAGTGTTCCATGAACAAGGAAGATCTTTCCATTTTCTAATGTCTTGTTCAATTTCTTCAGTGTTCTATAATTTTCAATGTAGAGGTCTTCACTGTCTTGATTAGGTTATTCCTAGAAATCTCATTTTTAAAAAAAAGAGTGTAAATGGAATTGTTTTCCTGATTTCTTTCTCAGTGGGTTCAGTACTGATGTATAGTATACTGATGTATAGTACTGATGTATATCTATTGATTTTTGTGTCCTGTAAAATTCAAATTTAACTGGGTCTCTTGCATTTTATTTCTATTTCTTTTAAAGTCCTTAAGGCATAAATAATCTTGGTTTGTTTGCAGACCAGAAAGAAGTCCAATGTGACTAGAATACTGAGTCCAGGGAAAAGTAACAGGCAAGAAAAAGTAATCTACATTGAGAAGTACATACTAACTTATAGTGGGAAGCTCTGCATTTTTTTTCTGTGGAAAAGGGAAGGCGCTAGAGTTGTTTTGCTTGCCATTATGCAAAAGTAACTTTAGCTTTCATTTTCCTCAAAGGGAAAAACTGAAAATGTTTAGTTTTATTCCGGGAAAAAGTTTTCAATATTCTGATTTTCATTGTTCACTATAATTTTCGTTCAAAGTTTCTGTAAAGCCTTAATAGCTCAGAAGAGGTTGAGGATGTAGCTCCTTGGCAGAGATTTGCCTAGCCTGCAAGAGCCCCTGCATTCAATCCCCACCACTGGGAAAGAAAAGAAAAATAAAAGCAGAGAAAGAGGGGCGGGGGATTTAGCTCAGTGGTTCGGCTGCCTGCCTTGCAAGTACAAGGTCCCAAGTTTGATCCCTGGTAACAAATAAAAAAAAAAAAAGAGGAGAAAGAAAAAATCAAAACACACATACAGGCCCATGAAGGCCTTTTATAATTTGAAATTACTTTCTGTTGTTTTTTTCTACTACTTTTAAAGAACTAATATATAATTCACATAGCCATAAAATTCACTGTTTTAAAATGTACACTTGAGTGGCTGTTAGTGTTAATATACAAAATTGTACAACCATCATGCAATCTAATTACAGAACATTTTTATCATAACCAAAAGAAATACCATGGCCTCTAGCAGTCAGTCTCCATTCCCCACCATCAGTCAATCTCAATTAAGGTATTTAATGAAAAAGAAAGGCCGGGGATTTAGCTCAGTGGTTTCGCTGCCTGCTGCACAAGGGCAAGGACACGAGTTCGATCCCTGGTACCAAAGAAAAAAAAATTTATTAGAACATATGATCTTGGGTTTGGTAACCAGTACAACAAAACAAAAAAAAGAAAAAGAATGAAGTCAAGTGTGGTCTGAGATGCTGAGGCAGGAGGATTATGAGTTCAAGCCCAGCCTGGGCAAATTTAGTGAGACTCATTCTCAGAAAATACATATAGAAAAAAAAATGGGAATGTGGCTCAGTGTGAAGGACCTTGGTCCAACCCCAGGTGGGGGTGGGGTGGAGAGGGAACGAACAAATTTCCTTCAGGCAAGCAGATCTAAGTTAATCCTATGACAGGTGTTTTTGTTTGCTTATTTGTGGTACTGGAGATTAAACCCAGGACCTCACACTGAGCTACCATCCTAACCCTTTTAAATTTTTGTTTATTTTTTAAAAATTTTGAGATAGGGTCTTACTAAATTGCCCTGGCTTCACTTGAATTTGCAGTCCTCCTACCTCAGCCTTCCTAAGTGCTGAGATTACAGGCGTGCATCACCACATCTGGCCTCTGTGACAAGTCTTAGTCCGGGTTTTGAGACATGTCATAAAATATCACACTTCTTTTTGTTTTTGTTTTTCTTTTTTTTTTGGTACTGGGGATTGAACTCAGGACCTTGTGCTTGCAAGGCATGCGGCGGCACCACTGAGTTAAATCCCCGGCCCTGTTTCTTCTTTTTTTGATACTTCAATTTGTTTGAAAGAGTAAAACATACCCATAGATCCTCCTGTCTCAGCCTCCCAGAGTGCTAGGCATACACCATCACACCTGGTTCTTTTAACTGTCTTTTTGTTGTTTTTGTTTTTTGAGACAAGGTCTTGCTATATGGTCCAGGCTGATCTTGAACTCACTGTGTAGCTTAGGCTGGCCTCGAACTTGTGGCAATCCTCCTGCCTCATCCTCCTGAGTGCTGGGATCATTCACACCCACTCTTTTTTTTTGGTACTGGGGATTGAACTCGGGTCCTTGCGCTTGTGGGCCAGGTGGCAGAACCACTGAGCTAAATCCCTGGCCCTAAATGTTGTGTTTGAAGCAATATTTCTATAGCCTTGTAAATTATATAAATTATAATTATGTAATGAAAATTTAAGATTAGAAGACTGAGACAATAATGTTTTCCCTGATACCAAAGGAAGAATGGCTAATAATTTTTAGTAATAATGATGTTATTGTTTTAAGTTATTATTTTTAATAAGTTTATTCAGCCATTCTCTGTCCATGTCAGAAAACATAGGCTGACTTATCAGTTATTCTCGTCACATCTCCTCATGTCATTGTACCTGTATATATGTCTGCAAAGATCTGTGTGCAGAGACTATCTTCTTTTGATTAACTTTACTTTGGTTAATGACTTTGGCAGTTAATCACACAGATAGTTAATTTTTTTTCCATTAAGTTTATTGATACATTTTAGATATAGTTACATTCATCATTGGGATCTCGTGCCTTTACATGAGTATCTTGGTTCTTATTTTTTTCCCCTTCCCTTGCCCTCCCTTC